CTTGCTTCTATTCATCTTTTTCTAAAACGTCAAGGACGTAGTTAAAATCGTGGGTTTCTGCACGCAAAAGAGGAGGTGTCCCAACAACTTATGACCAGGATTGTAGGTGCAATGGCTTACGGCCTCTTATTGAAAGCCCTGCTGAGGTTTAGTTAATTCAAATTCCCATTTCAGGAAATACCGACTGCACGATTACTGCAGTGTCATTAATAATTACTTTTCACAGCAGCTTTGCCAACAAACTCTTCATCTGATTAGCTAAACTCTTCTTGGTTTGCCAAACCTATTTCACAGCCTATTTGTGAATAAAAAGGTGGATTGCGTAAACAAAAAAAAAGACCCGGCAATTGTACAAGCAAATTAAAATACCATATAATAAATAAATAATTAGGTCCTTAAAGCTACATGCCTAATTTTACAACAGCTGACAAAAATGAGTGCCTTCTTTTTATTGTAGGCTACAATAATAAATTATAGTAAGCCAACATTGAGGGATATGCAGCTGTTCTCTCAGTTCTTTTAAAGTTTGCTACTTACTTGGAACAACGTCATAATAGTCATCAGAGCAGCTAACATCCTCTTGGCTCACAGAGCCTTCAGAGCCTAGTTTTGAATAAAAATGTATACAGTTCATGACTGGTTAAATTGATGTATGTGATACTTTGAATACGGAAATTTACCCTTCAGCCTTCTTAAGAAGTGCAGAAGCCTAATTAATTATTGCTGACAGGAAATGTAAATTATATGCTTAGGCTCCATATTATGAAAAATTTCTTGTATCCAGTGGATGTTCTTTTAAACACAGCTGATACGCATCGAGGTTGAAGGCTTATTTGCCAAGTATCACCTGCAACAACAAGGACCTATCAAGCATGCTCAGTTGTCATAGGTGCGATGGCTTACGGCCCCTTAATGAAAGCCCTGCAGAGGTTTAGTTAATTCAAATTCCCATTCCGGGAAATACTGACTGGACAATTACTGCAGTGTTATGAATAATATTTAGATTTAGCCAAGCCTACAAGCAGAGCTCCTCAGTTATTTTTTGGAATGTTGTTACTAATGAAAATAATCCAACATGCTGGTGAGGTAAATTGCGAACGATAGTAGTATAGGACGTTAATAGGGGTCGTAGCCAATCAGAAGGCCGTGCATATCATTAAAAAAGGCTC